CACTTTCACGTTCATTGCTTTGGTGATGCTATCTAACCATCTCATCCTCTGCCATCCCCTTCTCCTTTTGCCTTCCATCTTTCCCAGCATCAGGGTCTTTTCCAGAGTCCTCTCTTCGCAGTAGCTTTGTTAGATGGCTGTATTTCTACTCCATCATCATTCCATGATTTACAACTGCAGGGTCTATGTAGGGTCACGTGAAACATTGCAGGCTCAAAACAGCCTTTCGTAAGAAACAAAACTTGTTTTGAGTGATGACATTTAGAATGCTCCAGTCATTGAAAATGTTGGTCTCGAAGTAGGCTGCATATACAGGTTGCACCAACTTAAGATGGACAGCTGTGAACTTGCATCTCCTGTAAGTTTTGTTTTTGGAGCAAAACAAAACATTTGAGCCAGAACATACCAACTCAACTGTTTGGACAGAAAGTTTCAAGTGGGCTGTTCGTTCTGAGCGGGAAACCAAACATATTCCTTGTTTCATGCACAACTGCTAGGGGAAAAGAGTTGGCAGTGATAGCAAGGAAAATTGCTGGGAGAACTAGTGGGCGCAGATACAATTTTTCAGCACTGTTGCAATGACAAGAACAAATGGTATTGGCTTCCGCTGCCCTGATGTCCAGTTGGTAATAAGCATCATTTGGGTCTAAGAAAACAAGGTCACATCCTTCAAGGTTGTCATAAAATGAGCATCTCTAAGAAGTTGTTTTTCAAAATTAAGAAGGAACTGTGCTCTGATTGGCTAGCTGCAGCCCAACTGACTCAGGTGAGATTGCTAGCTGGTTTACGTGAGTGTCATTGAGCTGTGGCTATCTCTTTTGGCACCTGCGGTCAATGTTTTCCCATTAGAACAAGATTCTTATAATGAAAGAAGGATTTGAAGCTGGTCTGCTGCAAAGCAGTTTTGGCTCCCAGCCTGATCTTTATTTCCAAGAATTAATCTTGGACTGAAGTGGGCCCCGTGAGCTTTTTTTGAAATGGGCAGTTGCCACCCAGCACTCTGAGTGAAAATGACCTCTTAAAAAGGACAAAGCAAGGAATCCTGGTTGGGACTGTGCGGTAAGAGGCATTGATTGACTAAGGGGTGAGACAGCCTTCTGTAAATTCATGCTTTGTAACAGGATATGTCTCCCAATTTATAAATAGACAAGCCCCCGCCTGCAGCTACTTTATGAGAATATCCACAACTTGCCCCCCCAAAAAACATAAATTTTGGGGATTTGCTCTTCTGGATGCTCTTTGGAGCCACTCTGGACTGCTGTGCCCTGAACATTGATTCCTAGCTCCAGCTTGTGCCCCACTGCTTTTTTTTCCCCCTCCCTTGGTGGATTGGGCCAACATCATTTGTAGTCAAACACATTTATTTATTTATTTATTTATTGCCTTTCCATCCCACCTGTTCCTTAAGAGCTGAAGGCAATGTCCTTAGTGCCTGTTTCCTCCCATTTCCTCCTGATACCAACCATCAAATGAGATAGGCTGGCCTGAGAGGGTGCGACTGGCCAGCTGAAAACCTCCTCTTGAGATGAGGATGGATGTGAACCTGGGTCTCCTTATCCCAGCCCACCAGTTCAATCCCAATCCATATCTGGAGGGCAGAGGTTAGATCAAAGTACGGCTTGGAAACCTGCTCAAGGGACTGTAGCCTTTGCTCCCCTCTTAAGAATGTGCTACCTGGTCCTTTCCAGTGCCCTAGAAATGGGAAAAGATCTGCCATTACCTATTCCCAGGATCGGTATTGATTGAAAATGGTTGACTGAAGTTCACCAGCCATCCATGCAGGATTTATTTTTCATCTGTCTTGGGAAATATTTTCTGTTCACGATCTAGCTGATGCTGAGAAGGACTGAGACGACAAATGATGATGCGAGATACCAACTGCCTTGTTTCTTTGCTAGTGAGCTGCAGTTTAGATGGCAGAGTGATGAGGAACTGGCCAACTGGACCAACAGCTCCAATTTCATGGATGGCGGAGCTCTGAGAAGTGGAGGTGGCACAGGCAGCAGGTACAGAGATCGGGGGCACAGCACTGGAAGGGTGGCTCTGGTCCTGGAACAGACCTTTGATATGATCTGGGGAGGCACCATCACTCATTCTTTCCATGCCGATGTTAATGAAGACAAGAGAAACCCACACTTGATCCTTAAAATTTCCTCCAGAGCTGAAGGAACTGGAATAATTGCCCTGCTTTTGTACATGGTCAAACTCTGCCACAAAGTAGGACTAAGCCAAAATTGCTACTGCACCTCTGCTGTGATACCCCAAACCCCTTGGGCTGCCAAAGTGTGTGTGTGTGGGGGGGGATAGGGTGCTAGAGATTAAGGTCTTTGGTGTTGGTGGATAATTTTTTTTTTCACGCTCAAGGCTCCAAAATGAAAACAGAGAGCACAACCTTTGCTCGGATTGCTTCAGAGGGATGATATGACTCAAAGCCAACTCTGAGCGAGGGCAGTGCTTCCTTCTTGTTGTCTGGCATATTTTATTTGTTAATTTATTAAGCCAATTTATGTAGCTGCCCATCTCATCACAGGTGACTCTGGGTGGCATACAACAAAGCTAAAAACAGTCAAAAATATAAAAAACAGAGAATAAAAGGATGTTAAAAATAAGGAAGCCAAATATGTGCCCTTGTGTATTTTGAATCTAGTTGTGTAGTTGCCAACCCTGTCATGATTATAGAATAGTCCCAGAAGCGTAAGGGTATGTAAGCAACCTTTCAGAATTGTTTGCCGTGGTTGGGCTATGTGGGGACAATGGGATTTGAACCCCCAAATATCTGGAGGGTTCCAAATTGCCCACCATTGGAATAAATTGTACAGTATTAGCCCAGACATCTGAACCAGTGGTGGCATTCACACAACAGGACTGACCAAGTTGCTACTTGAACTCACGTTCTGCGTTCACAGAGTATACCGGACCATAAACAAAGGGATGTTTTAGTTTGGGCAACGTGCTAAGTTACAAAAACGAAACAAGGGGAAAGCTAGCCAAGCTGAACTTGCGATGTGAATGCATCTGCTAGGTTTGGAACCTGATAAGCAGGTTGCGTGGACCCAGCTAGAATGAAGTAGGATCGTGTTACGTCGAGTATGTCTGCTGATCATTTTAACAATGCACCAAAAGCCATTGTGAAATGAACTTTGCTATGCTTTTAGGGTCCAGCATTAAAATATTGATAAAAATAACCCCAGAAGAAAAGCTGAAAGGCATAGAATCTTTCAAGAAATACTGAACTATTTTTAAAAACTGCATCTTGACTTTGGCCTTTTTGTAGCCAGGAATACTTTATGAGTTCATTTGGTGGATCCACTTGTTGTTTTTTTCTACTTTACAGGTACATTTCATGCGCTCATAAGCTCTTTGCATAAATTCTCTGCATAATTTTACATCAGCCCTGTAGACTATCTCAGTATTACTCAGTATTATTAATTATTAAAGTCCACTTTAAGATGAGTGGACTTCAACTCCCAGAATTCCCCAGCCAGCTTTGGTCCACAAGTCTTAAAGTTGCCAAGGTTGAGAAACACTGATCTAGGGAGATTCCAGATTTTTGCAACTCAGATTTGGAAGTTCTCATCACTGACCTGTGGCCTGAACTATGCAGCTGTGATGTGTTTGATGCTTCAAAAATGTGCACAACCTCTTCCATTTTTGGTCTCCCTTAGAAACCAAA